TCAAAATTTACATGCATATTCATCAAAACCTAAGCTACATTTTGATAAAATTTTATGTGTAGTTATTATGCGCGTTTCTGTATAATCAGTAAAAACAGGTGTCCGGATACTTTTGTCCAGGGAGTGTATATATATTTATTTATTTTTTTTTTTTCACGTTAAATTTCTTCTATATTAGAACTGGGAAAGTATGACAAATTGAATTGAAACATCGATCTTCGAATATATCATCATTTTACTGATCATCATCTTGCCAATTTTTTGTAAAGCTAATTTAAAAAAACTTTGAGCATCTACCAAGAATCCCAAATGTATTACACAAAACGTACATAACGATTATACAAAAAATTATATCAATTTAAGTTTTGAAGATTATATATTATATATAATCACATGCTTATGGATTTATCAATTAAAAATAAAAGAACTTCAAATATTTTTGAAAAAAAAAAGTGTGATTGTTCTAAAGCCTACATAATAATATGCTTCGAAATTTTAGATGTGGTAATTCAAAGATCTTTTGGACTTTAGTTACTTGGAAAAAATTTACAGTGCAGTTTTTTCGTAACACTCTCACTATATATATTAATATTATTTTTAAATGGACCATGTAAATAATCAAAGATACACTACCTGGACAAAAGTCACGCACACCCTAAAACAAATAATTGCATAAAAACTTACATAATAAATATACAAAAAAATAATGTCGTTTTGTAACCTAGGCATTTATTAATCTATATGCAAATTTTCATTTCTCTAACGTTTCTAAAAAAAATAATAAATAAAAAAATAAAACTTGGTCCGAATTTTTTTTCCCCAAATATTCCCACTTCAAAAAAAAATGAATTGAATAAAACGTGCATCATAACCTCATCTGAAATTTCAACATATGATAATACACATCTTAAATAACCATCTGTGATGTTATGAATTTTTTTGTAAACAAGCTTGATTTCTAATAAATATTTTTGAAAATTTAAAAAAATTAAAAATGTTGGCTTTGACTGAAATTCAACGTAGCGAAATTATTTGTCTTTACAAAAATAATGAACCCATTTCCAAAATAGCCAAAATTCTTGATATTCATAGAACAACAATATCTCGTACTATTAAAAAACATATTGATGGTGAAGGTCTTGCTACAAAGCAGCGAAATGGTTGTCCAAAATTAATTAATCAACAATGAAAATCAAAAAACATTAAAAAAAATTTTAAAGCGAAATAATCGAAAGTCTGCTGAGCAAATAAAAAACAAATTTAACGAAAAAACAAAGTGATGTTTCAACTAAGACTATTAGAAGAACATTACATGAATTAAATATTTTTTCTCGTGTTCCTGCAGCAAAGCCACTTTTAAATGACCAACAAAGAACCAATCGATTAAATTGGTGTCTTGGGAGAAGGAGTTGGACGGTTAGAAAATGGAAATCTATCATTTGGAGTGATGAAAGTAGATTTACAATCTATAAAAATGATGGACCAGGATATGTTTGGAGAACTCCTGGTACCAGGTTTAATATTGAAAACATGACTCCTACTGTGAAGTTTGGAGGTGGAGGCTTGATGATGTGGGGTTGTTTTTCAGGAAAACGTTTGGGCCCATTGATAGAAGTGGATGGTAAATTAAATAGCTTAGGATATATACGAATACTAGAAAACCATTTGTTACTTTAATTGAAAAAGACTTTAATAAGAGGGGTATTTGTATCAAGATGACAATGCCCGTCCATACTGCGAAAGTTGTAAAAAATTGGTTTTTAACAAATAAAATTAATGTTTTGTCTAATTGGCCAAGTCAGTCCCCTGACTTGAATCTAATTGAACATTTATGGTCAAAGTTGGAAAGAAGAATTAGAAGGCACCCAAAAAATATGAAAAATATTAATGAGTTGGAGTTCGCATTACAGGAAGAATGGAGTAAAATTCCAATGGATGTTCTATTCAGACTGATAGAAAGTATGCCAAGGAGAATAGAAGCTGTTATTAATAATAATGGGTGGCCAACCAAATATTGATTTTATTTAAAATTTTAGACATGATTATTATGCGAGTTCTTGAGCAATTTTTTTTTTGTTGATGTTTTTGATGATCATTTTCCATAAACTTTTTCTCTAGATTTTGACAATCCGAAATCCGAAATCTTAATATTATCATCGACTATAAGAACATTTCCCGCATGCTACAACAAATATTTATAGCGATAGTAAGGTTAATGTTAATGTTAACAATGTGTTAATGCTATACTATTAAAGAAAGAAAAATCATTAAAGAAGTACCAAGTCTCGATGAATTATTCCTTTACTATGCAATGCTTGTATGCCACTAGCAAGCTGATATGCCAAACCTAACTTTTTTGTCCAGTCCAATTTATCAACATTTGCAGACAAATATTCATGGAGCGTCCCGTGGTTAGCGAATTGTAAAACCAATGAATAATTTCCCGATTTAGGATCTATTTTTATAATTTTCGTATAATAAAAAAATAGAATGTATTACTAATTAATTTTTTATTTATTGGTTTTTAAATGTAAAAAAAATATTACTTTGCGTTATCCCATAAATATTCAAAATATTTTCATGGCCATCAACTTGATTATGTGATCTAAACTAAAAATAGTCACGTAATATTACTTTAGTGATAGATAACTAATTACAAATACTCACGGGTCTAAATAATGTTATACCTCGTGGACAAATTGTTTCATAACTTCACCGTCATCTTTTTTCGTCTTTTTCATAATTTCTTTCAATGCTACATCCATATCACTCTTCCATTTGGCTCTATAAACTTGTCCCGAAGCACCTTTATTGATATAAGTAATACCAGAAAATATGTTGTAAGGAAATTTAACTATTTCTGCGTCGTCCAACCATTTCTTTGGATCTTTTAAAGTTCCCTTAATTATTTCGGAATCATTGTTATTGTCGTTGCCGTTGTTGTTGTTGCTGTTCCTGTTGCTGTTGCTGTTGTTGGGTGTTAAATTACTGGTAGTTGTATGGGGTGCTGAATTATTGTTATTGTTGTTATTATCCTTAATAATAATATTATTATAAAGGTTATTAATGTCGGTTATATCATTATTATCGATGAATTTTTTTTTAAAAAATATCTTTTTGATGTTAAAAAAATCCTTAAATGATTTTTTTGTTTTTTCCTTCATTGTTATTCTCATTTTAAATGTAATTTACACTAAAAGAAAGAAGAAAAGGAAATTCTAAATTGTCGATTATTTTATGATTCATCGAAAATAATAATGATGAAAAATGACCTTTTCAATGAAAAAAATTAATTTGGTAAAAGTGAAATGCAAGCTACTAAATATATGTATTATAATAGTAGTAACATTTCGGGAAACTTGCAGTTAATTTTAACGCCCACAGGGAGGTATTAATATTAGTAATTCGAAGTTGCGCCACATACAGGTGACTAGAGTTGCGAGCACAACTTTAAAATTTAAAGAAACGGTTTATATTTAACGCTTTCCCTACGTCAGTATTATATACTATGAAACAGATGTATTTTTATATTCAAGCATACAGTAGTTTAATAACATTATTAATAGGTTTAGACAATGCATTAATAACACAATTATTATAAATTTTATTTAATAAACAGCATCAAGATGTAATGTTTGAAGGATCAAAAGGAATTGTATTAAACTTGATTTGATTTGTAAATTTTAGTATAAAATATTTTTCAATACAATATAAACTTGGGACTTAATCTTTTGCATATTTTGAGAATTATTAACGCTGCAGTCATGTCTCTACTATCACCACAATTATTCAGGTAGCTCCACAAATTCACCTTCGCTTACCTTTTAAATAAGGAATCCATTGAAAAATTTCATAACCCGTTGCTTTAACTGGATGATTTAATCAACTTGTCAATATTTTCATTACCATTAAATCAATGTGTTGCATAATTTACACAATTCCCAATTAGTATTATATTCACATTTAAGCTTGCTTGCTTTATACCATATTCAAAAACCTTTCCATTAAAAGAGAATTTTATTTCAAAATTCATATAATTAGATTTTATAAAATATCAACACACTTTTAATTGTACCTTGTAATTGTAGGTAGAACATTAACTTGTGAAATATCAAATCCTTAACACACATAGCCTTTAAATAATAAATATGTTTTAAGCAATTAAGAATAAATTATTAATTAATAGAGTCGGTGGATTGGTTCAAAGCTTAATAGGTTGCATAAACTGGCATTTGGATGAAATTTTGCGGTAATTTTTCATAATTAATCTGATTTGTCAAAGTTACCCTTTAGTACATAAATAAAGAGTAACTCTATTTATTAAATTATCAGCAAATGCACAACATAATTTTGGGCAGTTTGATTAATTACCTGGGTGTTTATAATCCAAAGACTTATTTATACACTAACTGGACAAAAGTCACGCACACCCTAAAACAACTAATTACACAAAAACGTACATATTAATATACAAAAAAATAATGTCATTTTGTAACCTAGGTCCTTGTTAATCCATATGCAAATTTTCATTTCTCTAACGTTTCTAAGAAAAATAATAAATAAAAAAATAAAACTTGGTCCGAATTTTTTTTTCCAAGAAAATGATCATCAAAAACATCAACAAAAAAAAAATTGCTCAAGAACTCGCATAATAATCATGTCTAAAATTTTAAATAAAATCAATATTTGGTTGGCCACCCATTATTATTAATAACAGCTTCTATTCTCCTTGGCATACTTTCTATCAGTCTGAATAGAACATCCATTGGAATTTTACTCCATTCTTCCTGTAATGCGAACTCCAACTCATTAATATTTTTCATATTTTTTGGGTGCCTTCTAATTCTTCTTTCCAACTTTGACCATAAATGTTCAATTAGATTCAAGTCAGGGGACTGACTTGGCCAATTAGACAAAACATTAATTTTATTTGTTAAAAACCAATTTTTTACAACTTTCGCAGTATGGACGGGCATTGTCATCTTGATACAAATACCCCTCTTATTAAAGTCTTTTTCAATTAAAGTAACAAATGGTTTTCTAGTATTCGTATATATCCTAAGCTATTTAATTTACCATCCACTTCTATCAATGGGCCCAAACGTTTTCCTGAAAAACAACCCCACATCATCAAGCCTCCACCTCCAAACTTCACAGTAGGAGTCATGTTTTCAATATTAAACCTGGTACCAGGAGTTCTCCAAACATATCCTGGTCCATCATTTTTATAGATTGTAAATCTACTTTCATCACTCCAAATGATAGATTTCCATTTTCTAACCGTCCAACTCCTTCTCCCAAGACACCAATTTAATCGATTGGTTCTTTGTTGGTCATTTAAAAGTGGCTTTGCTGCAGGAACACGAGAAAAAATATTTAATTCATGTAATGTTCTTCTAATAGTCTTAGTTGAAACATCACTTTGTTTTTTCGTTAAATTTGTTTTTTATTTGCTCAGCAGACTTTCGATTATTTCGCTTTAAAATTTTTTTTAATGTTTTTTGATTTTCATTGTTGATTAATTAATTTTGGACAACCATTTCGCTGCTTTGTAGCAAGACCTTCACCATCAATATGTTTTTTAATAGTACGAGATATTGTTGTTCTATGAATATCAAGAATTTTGGCTATTTTGGAAATGGGTTCATTATTTTTGTAAAGACAAATAGTTTTGCTACATTGAATTTCAGTCAAAGCCAACATTTTTAATATTAATTTTTTTAAATTTTCAAAAATATTTATTAAAAATCAAGCTTGTTTACAAAAAAATTCATAACATCACAGATGGTTATTTAAGATGCGTATTATCATATGTTAAAATTTCAGATGAGGTTATAATGCACGTTTTTATTCAATTCATTTTTTTTTTGAAGTGGGAATATTTGGGGAAAAAAAATTCGGGCCAAGTTTTATTTTTTTATTTATTATTTTTTTTAGAAACGTTAGAGAAATGAAAATTTGCATATTAAAACATACTGTACTTACAAATTCTGCAACAAAAATTCCAACTGTCTCAATGTGAGTTGATGCATCCTTTTTTTTATTTTTTGCTACAGTCCCACGTCTAATACTCATGCCTGCTCCTGCAAATGTCTCAATTGCTGAGATAGATGCACCTGCACCATCCAATAGATAGCCAATTTCTGCTTTAATTCCACTAATAAATTTATTATTCAGACCTGCCAAAAAATAACAAAATAAAACTAATCTTTTTTTATTTTTTTTGTTAATCATATTGCTTTTAGAACCTGGATTAGTTCCTTTATATAGTTGATCAAAAAATTATACATGAAGTCAAAACTATTTCGACCATTTGCAGATCTGGTTGAAATAGGGTCGAAATAAGGCTGAAACAGATTTTTACTATGTAGTTGCCTCAAGTTGAAACATTTCGACTTTGGGGTTTTAATTTCGACTTCATGTATACAAAAAACCCTTTAATTCTGGTTCGGTTTCTTCTAACATCCTATTAAATGCTTCAGGTTCCAAAATTGGTTTTCATTATTTACTCTCTGTCTTATATACAGTATATCTGCTATTAGTTTAATTTTTTTACTAAGAGGAGTCATTTCTAAAATAAATAAAAAAAATAACCATGTTAACAAATACAATTGACAATAAAAAAAAAGAAAAAAAATAATTACCTAATTTTACTTCATCAAGTTCTGCACACACCTCATAATATGCAGTCTCCAATTCTTGAAATTCTTTTTCTGAGTAAATAACATCATTGCGTAATACATAAACTCTATCTTGAAATTTTCGTATATTTTCTTTCAAAGTTCTTTTAATTGGTAATAAATAATTTGAAGAACCTAAATATTCTGAATCATGATCAGTCTCCAATAAACAATGATAACACATTACAGCTGTCTCAGATAATTTAAAATATTCAATTAGTCTTTCAGGTGCCTTTTTAAATGATGTTGTTTCTTTTTGTGCTGTAGGTAAATATATTTGATGCTTAGGATGAGAACAAATGTTAGTAATTTTTTTTTTTTTTGCATTAACAATTAACTTATTGTAATGCTTTCTACATAAAGCTTTTCCTACTAAATTTAAATGACAATTAATTTCCGGTATTGTCACTCTATCAGATATAATAGAAGCACCATTCTTTTCATAATCACATATAACTTCATCATAACCTTCTAAATCACAGTGTTCTACCTTCCTCTTACCTTTTTTTCCACATTTGTTTTGACTTTTCTAATTCATTTTTAAATTGGTTATTGAAATTCTACCTTTGGTTTTTTTAAAAAAAGAATTCTCTATAGCTAACTTCCGAATTACCTAACCCTTATTCAAATTATTTGTGAGGCTGCGTTATCATTTAAAGTCAGGTGAATGGTAAATTTTTATATTAAATAATATGTGACTATAATTTCTAAAATCAACCAATCATATTTAAGCCGCTATGTTTATTTTATCCTAAATATCACTGTGAACTTAATTACATAGAAATGTATTGGGGTGCCAAGTAGTATGCAAGAGAGAATTGTAACTACACCTGTGAGGGTTTGTTAAAAACAGTTCATTTAGCTTTAGACTCTGTTTCATTAAGTTCAATCCATAAATTTGCAAGGAAGTCATTTCAATATATGGAATGTTATAGAAAAGGGTTGAATGTAAAACAAGCTGAATATATATGCTGTTGCGAGTGTAACAATCCTCGAAATAATATGTCACACAAATGGCAATTAATTTTATTACCATATTTGGTGACCAGAGGAATTCATTTTTTTTATCAGTTACTTGGCAATCGGGATTTTTTGTTAAAGAATTATACATATACTATTATTTTTATTAAGAATGTGGATATTATATTGTTATGCTATATTGTGGGGAATATAATCATATTATTATTATATTTATATTATTTATAATCAAAGAAGTTATCTTTAAATTATGATCATACTTTCCGGGAAGCCTATAAGCTTCCATACAATATATAGATTATACATTTACTTATTTTCTTATGATTTATATTTATATTTAAGAATTGTATTTTTATTTATTTAAAGAAGTAAAATTCAAACAAATAAAGATAACTTTTATTTAATTTTACAACAATAAAATTATCAGTTCATTAACATTGTTAAATAAATATCTAGACGTTTTTAAATAATTGTGATAATTATTTGAACGTTTACAGCGAGCGTGCAATCTGCGTTTCTTAATTAATAGGTTATTTAATGCACAACACACAGCCTACTCAATGACTTACGGTCAAGTTAAATCAAAAAGCACCTTTCTGACATAAAACGAACAATCATTTTCCAGTTTCGATAGTTATATGCCACTTTGCTTTTTCAAAAGTCAGTAATAAAGAGAACTAGTATTTTTTGGGGCTCTCACTTGAGCATTACTTGAAATTGACTCAATTGAGGGTTTATAAATTAAATAATTATATATTATTTACTTTTTGCATATAATGTACTTTTTAATACATGATGTTTTATAAAAATGTTTGTCTATATTTTACAATTTTATTATAATGAGTCACCAGTGATTATGTTTTTATTGCCCTTTCTCATTTCAATAGAATGAATGCAGCAATCAAAAATAAACCACTAAGGAAATGTAATCTAGTAGTGATAATAGTTGCAGGGGAATTACTATAATTATTACAATTGACATTGGCTGTTCCGGTAACATTTATGTTGCAATTTTGGTTGTTGTTATTGTTGTTGTTGTTATTATTATTATTATTGTTGTTGTTATTGTTGTTGTTGTTGTTATTATTGTTGTTGTTGTTATTATTATTATTATTATTATTATTATTATTATTATTATTATTATTATTATTATTATTATCATCATCTATTTGCTGATTAGAACTAAAGAGAGCACTGGATGGAGTGCTATGTTGGATCGTATCGCTAGGAACTTTTGAGGTTGAGGTAACAGTAGCTGTTGATGGAATTCCGAGACTGCTTGGACAATTTGGTTCGGAAGGAACAGTCAATCCGGTGTAGTTCATCTTGGCACAATCATCCAATACATCTATTGATTTTTGGAAAGAAATATATTAGTAAGTCTGAAAATATAAAAGAATAAGGAATAATTTAATATAAAATTTGTCTTACCTTGAGGCCCAGAAAATTTATTAGGATTAACAGAGTTTTGATCGCAGAGGAAATAGCTAAAAAGTAATAATGACCGGGAAATTAATATGAAATATGAATAAATGGAATTTAAAGCCTTCAGTCAAATGTCTTTATTTACCAAGTATATGCGTCAACGTAATCTTGAGAACATGAACATGTTGGGGTATCTTTTTTATTGGGATAAAGTGTATCGCAATCAGTCGCATTCTTTTTGTATGGCTCCCAATATGCGGAACAAGTCGCACTATCTACCGCTCCAACTTTAACAGAGAGAAGCGAGAAGGAAAAAAACGATAGAATTACTACGAGAGATAATTTTTGCATATTGGGATTTTGAAAATAAGGATAGAATTATTAAATTTAATTACTATTTACAAAAGAAAATTCAGTTAATTTATAAATTACCGTGCGGCAGTGTAACAATATATATAATTTCCCATGTACAACAAACAATTCAAAAATGTCGTTAATATAATGAGCTCTTTTTTTTTTAGTAAATTATAAAGAGAAAAAAACCAAATAGTGATGCACCAATAACATAATGATTATCATTTAATGATTTTACCAACCCAACTACTCTTCAAATTACAAGAGCATTCTAAACATCTAATCTAAGCATCAATAGATACCAAATATGTTCAAAATGTTCATCTTTGTCAATACCAATTGAGATAAAGCAAAGGATAATTTTTCTTATAATATATAAACCACCCAAAACAAGTTTGACTAGATTCAATTTATTTGTTTATTTTCTTATCTGTTTACATGCTTTTATAAAGTATTGGTGTATTCACGTCCTTGTTAGCGTTATTAGATGTATATACAAATAGATTTATCTGCTCCCAACATCGCATCTTTTGTTTAAAGGAATCTGACTGTATCAATTTTGTACGAGTAACCCATCTCGTCACTATATGAAATAACAAAAATAATTGATACAAACTTTTCAAGTACATACTCTTATCCCCACATCTCAAAGAAACAATGGTTAAATGTTCAACTGCAGCTTTTGATTATATATAAATATCTGAGAAACTCTCCCTTTACGATAGCTGTTTTGTTTGATTGGGCAGTGAAGACAATTGATGATGTTGTCATTTGATATATATTTCCTTTTTATTATTTATATTTTTAAATTTATAACAAATAACTTGCAATTCCTTAAAAAAATTATATTAAAAATCCTCCCTTTCTAGATGCCAAACTTTCAGGACTCTCAAGCCGAGAGAAAAATAATTAATAAAACAGCACTTGCATGTTGGAAAGGATATTCCATTAAATCTGGCACCTTAACATTAAGCTTAATGTGTTGTTTTTATTGTATTTATTTTTATCACAAATCTTTGTAGGTTATTATTGTTTCCAGGCTGCATCCCGGATATCTTTAGAGCTATTTAGAGTGCAATTGAGGTCAAGCTTCACTTGAAAATTGACTTTATTATTCCTGAACAACATTTATTTACTTGCAAATGATTTGACCTGAGATTGGCCTGAAAATTTCCTCAAAGTTTATCCAATGAACTCGTAGCCCTCTCCCACCTTGATTTTCCCATTGCGTCATATCATTCAGACCATCTTTTTTTTGAAAAAGGATATTATAATGATTAAAGCGTTATTTTATTATAATAGTCATAATAGACACTATATTAGATACATGATTAATATAAATATTAATGGGATAAACAAATAAAGTTTTAATATGTTTTATAATTTCCTTCTTTGGGCAATAGTGCATCTTTCTTCATAAAAAGATGACCAAAAAGATCAATAATGTCTTTGAGAAGACATTCATAATATTCTGTTTACTAATGAAGTAGTGGAATAATGATAATTTTGGGTAGCCATTGATATTAAACCCCCACTATTTCTTCCATCAAATATTTGATTATCATTATTTCTAAAAAAAATTTGATTATTCGCACGTAAAATTATCAAGAATAAATATTTTCTAAAAAAAAAAATAGATTATTCTTATTATCGCCGTTATTGTTGTCTGGAAAAGTCCCTTGTACGGTGAATGTATATTACGAAATTTTTGATCTTAGTCATTACGTGACTAAAGTATTAACGAAAGGTAGTTTCTCACAAAAGGCCATTTTGACGATTTGACAAAAGTAAAAACGATTCGTATTTGACAATGGTTCAGCCTCAAGGAATAACTTCTAACACATCATAAATAATAAGTTTAAAAAAAAATCATTCTGTTTATATATCGAATTTTGGCAATGATGTAATTAAAATACAAAGAAAAAACTATTAAAATATTTGATGATTATTATCAATTAAATTTGTGATATTGTGCAATTACTTTCTTTTTCTATACGCATAGAGTTCCTAATCGTGATATAAATTCTTATTCGAATTATTCTTAATATTAATATCAATATTAATTCGAATTATTCGTTTTATTCGACTAAATTTTCAATGTAATTCGAATACTCAAATTCATAATAATAACGTATGAAAAAAATAATTCGAAATTCCAGGGACATTATATTTTTTTTCAATTCATATATAAAATTCATCGTCTCCGCAAACTTTTAAACGCATTTAAACTCTCATTGTTTCAGGTTCTAAACTACAACATCTTTGAGTAATTAAGTCTGTGCCTCCAGAAAAAATTCGTCCAACCGGGACACTGGTGCTATAAAAAGTTTAGAAATCGATAAATTTAATACTAAATAAGCAGAGCGCAAAAATTGGAATACCGGGGATTGTCAAATAGTTTTTAGCATAAAGTTCCGAACGGTTCGGTTCAAATAGTAAACCGAGTCGGACCAAACCGTTCAGAGCTTTAATTTGGAAAATAATTTATCACATATTATGTCAGATGATTATTACACATCTGATAATTATGAAACTTCTGATAAATCAAAAAATAGAAATCATAATTTACTTTATAAGGTAAAAATATAAGTGATTTTTTTGTTGTTTCAATTATGCTGTGTATTTTAGAAATATCATTAGAGAATCATCCAAGGAATCCCCAAGACTTCAAAAGTAAAATAAGAGCTAAAAAAGAGGAATGTCGTCAGGAATCTTACCATTAATAATAATAACCCATAGGAAGAATAAAACTTCCAATTTTAGAATCAACTAAGCTCTTTTCACAGTAAGTCCTGGATCTCAAATACATTAGTTTAAAACAAGAGTAATAGTAATTGTAGAACAAACAAACTCCTAGTTTCAGACAGTCACCTATTAATCAACGAATATGATCCAAGTTACTTTTATCACATGTAAGAATCACTTTAAAATATATTTTTTTATTCAAAATAAATTACTTATATATATATATATATATATATATTAAATTTATACATTTATTGCTTTATGGATTATTAGAAAATATTGTTCTGGTTTTTATGTAATGCATATTCAATGCGTAAAACGAACAGTTTAGTTATATATAGTAAGAAAGAACATACATAATATTTATTAATCGATTATTTTTACTATCAATTCTTTTATAGATATCAATGATATTAATGAATGGCAGGTATTAAGGAAAATTATTTGAATTTGCATAAATATTAAAATAGGTTAGTATGATATATATCAAATCACATGCTCATATTTCTTAATCCTGTAATTTGGAGGTTATATTACCAGTTAATAAAGCTCCCTCAAGATTATTTATTTAACGAAGGATCTGCATAGGATTTAGCCAATAACGTTGGTGGTATTTTCCATCTAGGGTAATAACATCTTTGACTGTATGTAATATGACTAAATAGTTAGTCAGTTTAGCCAAAGGCTCATTTGGGTTACGCTGACATGCACACGTTCCGAGTTTTATACCGCAATGAAAACTTTTTTGATTGAAAGTTAACCTTATTTAGAAATTTTTTTAAATTACAAAACAATTGGTTAAAATTTAATTCCTTTATCGTATTCAGTAAATTATTTTCATCAGGCCAAAGTCGAGGTATTAAACTGCCATGTCATAATAATAACAATAACGATTGATTTAATTATACAAAATCAATCTATTCCTTAACAAAAATAATTATCATTTTCTCTAAATATTTACTTACAGGTTGCATATATCAATTAGAGTGCAGAGATTTTCTTTATAACGAAATTAAAATTAAAAAAATCTGTATTTTCGATTGATGAATTTTATTATTATGATGATCAGGGGTTGTGAAGATTAAATTGAGTTGTTGAATTATTAGATCTCTCAATGAATAATAATAGTATAAAAATAATGGTAAGCCATTTTTATTTTAGAAATTTTTCTGGAAAAATTTTTTTTTAAATTATTTTTTCAAGTAAAAGATTTATTATATAATTACTTGATAATAAAAAGTTAAGATGGGGGCTATACATTCAAAAAATCAAAGACGCAAATTAAGGAAAAAAAAGAGTTCTCAATCAGCCGATAGTAGACTATCCCACGAAGGAACTGAATCTGATTGTGGTAGCAATCATATAAAATCATTATCATCATCATTATCATCATCGTCATCATCGTCATTATCACCATCACCATTAATCAGTAATTTTAATTTTAGTAAATTCAAAGATCACCTTTATATTATAGATAATCTTTGGCAAGGTACATTTTCTGCACCTGTGGAAGATTGTTTATTATCTAATTCTAAAGTATTGGATATTGGGTAAACATATTATTATTATGTATACATTATTATTTATATCTGTATATTATTTATCATAACTAATTAATCGATGTTTTGTTTTGTAAAGATGTTTATCGGGATCATGGATTTTAGATATGGTAATATTCTACATATCAACAATATATATATAATATACGTGATATAATAACAAAATTTTGCTAAAATTTGCAGGCAGAAAAATATCCACATACATTATTTTATGGGTTAGAATCAAATACAGTTCCTCCACCAATTATTCCTAGGAACGCCAATTTCTTCAAAGCAAATATATTGTCACTGCCATTTGAAGACGAAGAATTTGATTATGCTAGAATTGGTGATATGATGAGTGCTTTCTCTGATATCGAATGGGAACAAGCATTATCTGAAATTATCAGGTGACTTGATTTTATTTTTTATCGATTAATTAATTATTGATGAATAATTTTAGCATTTTTCTAACTTGTGGATGTTTCTAAAGAGTGACAAAGTGTGGCGGATGGATCGAAATTTCTGAATGGGATCTCTCTGTTTCAAAAAAAATTGCCCCAAACTATTTTAGAATTGTTGAAGCATGTAAGAACAAATTTCATCATAAAATTAAATAATTTTTCTTTCCATTAATAAATAATATCAATATTATTATTATTATTATTGCTTATTTATTTAGATATGGAAGTAAGTACATTGAAAGGAAGGAAT